CATTAATAATTCATACGACAAATATGTCGGCCGACAGCTCGCAGGGTTGGGCCGCGTTTATTCCAATCCATTAATTAATCTTAACACATTGAAGAACGCATTGAAAAATCTTATTTCTCACATATGTCCAATTCTCCACCGTAGTCGTCCAAAAAGAACATGTCAGATTAAGTCCAGAATGCTGAAGCTTCCTAACTGTAGAGCCCATTTCATGGGAAATTCGTTCTCTTTTAGAGCTGCTTCTTTCCTGCGTTCTTCCATCACCACATTTAAAAAAGAATAAAATCCCATTTCCTTTCCATCAATACATGATGCGGTTTCTTAGTTAATCATTATTATGTATTTATGTATTTGTTTAGGTATTTATATATGTTTATTTTATTATATATATAATATAATATTTATTTATTAAATATATTGAATGTATATTAATGTTTTCTTCTCGTTTCTATATTTTAGTAACTGTTTGTATGTTATTTTTTTTTAACTTCCACTAAATTTATTTAAATATGTTTTTAATGTACAATAATTTCAGGTAGACATTATTTAACCCCTAGATTTATTTCAATTAAAGTGCCCATGGATGATCACCGGGTCCCAATGTCTAAATTTACTTTCGTTCCGGAGTGACCCACCGATGGGCATGCGGTCTTTAACGTGTTAAATCTTCAATTATTAACGCTCCATTGGTCTGTATAAGTATGTAAAATATATTCGCCACCTGTCTCATTTTTGATGGCCTCGGGGTGTGATTTAGCAGTGGTTTAGCACAATGCTTTACTTACGATGGTCATGGGTTCGATTGCTCGCACGGTGTAAACATTATAAATGTCGTGTACCATTAATCATTCATACGACAAATATGTCGCGCGGCCGACAGATCGCAGGGTTGGGCCGCGTTTATTCCGATCCATAAATTAATCTTAAATCACATGAATTATTAACGCTGCATTGGTCTCTATATATCTTAGCTTATTAATATTATAAACGCTAAAGTTTGTGAGTATAGATGGATATTTGTTACTGTTTCCCGCAAAAACTACTGAACGAATTTTGATGAAACTTTACGGGAGTATAGCTTATGTATCAGAATAAAATATAGGCTATAAATTTCACACGGGTGAAACCGCGGGCTCAGCTAGTATAGTTGTCACCACCAGTCTAATTTTTGACGATCTGTGTGGTCTAGCGATTTAGCACAACGCTTTACTTCCAATCGTCGCGGGACTGATTCAAGCTCTGATTAGATTGGAATTTGGAACTAGATGGTGCTGAGTGAATTATCCAGGATTAACATTGTTAGTGTAACAATTTAAGAGAAATGGCCGCCGCCGTTGGTCCTTGTGAATTTTAATTGGAATGGGAATTTTAAAAACCTATTACCTAACTAACCAAAAGTTACATACCGGCCGGTTATCATAAACGTTAAGGTCATGCATTGATTATAAATCACTCGGTTATTGGTTTCAACCGTTTTAGCATGATGCTTGTGGGGTACACAACCTATGTAACCGGTTACCAAAATAACGAACGAACAACATAAAACATGGCCAGCTATTTTATGAATACTAATGAGATATCATAGTATAAGGCAATTTTTTTTTGTTCGCAATTTATAAATAACTTTATTATTATGATAATAGCATTTATTAATTAAAACATAAACGTGTAATTCAATAATTTGTATAAAATATTATATTAGATAACAATCTGATTGTAAAAATAAGCTTTAAACTGTATAAATATAATGTTTTACACATAAAAGTTATTGTTGCAATTACGAGTATAAGCTATACTCCTATTAGCAGGATAAACCCTAGACAGTTTACGCAGCGCCATCTTGAGTATAACTTGTGTTAAAATGTTGTCTAGACAGCTGATAGATATACATAAATATTTGTTTGTAAATACATACATAATACACATAGAAATCACCCAGACCAATACTAACAATCATACTCATGAATATAAATGGTTGTACTCTGCGAGGAATCGAAGCCGTGACCATCGGAGATAAGGCGGCCTGCTAAACCGCTAGACCACCGAGGCCGTTATATCAGATCGATATACATATAGAACTTTAAAAGACCTTTCAGCTTCGAGGAGCTTTCAAGTAAAAAAGAATTAAGAAAGTCTGTTGACATAAAAAATAGAGCCACATTCAGATAATGCTTTTATTGAAAACTTAAAGAATATATTATATTTTCTCATCAATATAGTATTTTTTAATGAATGATAATAGAATGGTGCGTCCGTCTGCGCTAATGGGTTACCCTAGCGGGCCACCAAGATGAACATGAGGTCAGGTCAGCCAGCCTATCGTGACAAATTTACCAGGAATTTATGATGATGGTTTCTGCGTGGAGGTCAACCTAACATGTACATTACTAGCAATCTTCTCACAATGTATTGGTAGTAATGCATAACTCGAATATGAACATCAGTTATCATCTCGAAGAATGTTTAAACATACTTCCGATAAATTTTATATGGATGTTTATATTAATAATAAGCCATTTCTTTTCAATAATGTTTTGAATGGTCGACATTCCTTTCATAATATACTCGTATATCATTTGCCATAAACATTAAATATGTTTATAATGTGGTAGTGTCTGTTTGTATGTAGTAATACTGTAATAGCGACGTTAAAATATCAAAGTTTCTGGAGTTACCTTTATATTTTAAAACATTCTTACTGAGAAAAACCTATTACTGATTATTTGATTAATTAAAATAATATGATAATTTATTAGCGATAATTTGAAGAATGTCTGTGAGTGCGGCCGACAGACAGCTAAATAGGTATATGATTTAAAAAAAAAACAATAGTCAGTAAAGTGAACAGAAAACTAAAAATTTACACAAAAAACTTGACTTCATAATAAACAAATAAAAGATTTTTATTTAATATCAATATATAACGATATATTAAATTTATTCGTTTTCAAAATATGAGGTTAGAGTATTCTCGATGATGATTTTGAAAAGAATAATGTTTCTTATCTAATATCACAAATAACATACTATAATACATACTAATATTCAGATACCTTGAACTTATTAATGGCATATAAGCTTCATTGATAATTAATAATAACTTTTATATGGTGTTGCAACTACAAAAGTGGCAAAACTACAAAGTTTTGATATATATTAGAAAATTTTAGAAATTTTTCTAAATAGAATATAGTTTATTCAATTACTTAAGTATCCTACAAATTCCTTACCATATTGAATTGATGTAGTTGCGGGAAATACTTATTTTTAATTACAAGGTATTTACCATTTATATACCGGTAGGTCAACCACTACCGTATTAGTTTTATATACTCGGAAATTGCGGTTCCCAAGAGGTTTATAGACTATCAATATGGAAACTCAATCGGCATCCCGCCTTTCGATTAGAGTTTATATGTATAAATATGTCCATATATACATTTTCTACCAGTTAGGTGAAAATGCCGCATGCTGTTAATATCAACAAATGTTATTTATTACCTTTTGTAAGGAGATCTTCACCTAAATATGCTACCCCATATCCACCAATATTATAATAAATATAAATTAAACCAACAAACCAATCCAACGTACTGATGGATACCGAAAAAAAAGCTTTAGATTTTATTATTATTGTATTATGTGCATTGAAGTATTTAGCTTCAAAATAAAAAATCGGAATGGTAAACAAGCTCTACAAGGTGCAGTTAATCGTAAGATCTAACACCATCAATAATACCATAAGCAGCAAGAACATCATTTCACAACGTCAGGCCACAGACATTGCTATTCTGATATATCTAACACCGAAACATAGCGTAACAAAACTAGCACTTCAGCGACTTAAATAAGTGATACAGAGGTAATAAAGATAACTTTGAACAAAGTATAGTTCAATCAAATATTTAATGTTATAAACTCACATTACCGGTTGTCGAATAGCTAATTTAGCTATTTAGCCTTAAGGAAAGCGGTAACAATTAAGTATGAACATTACAATAAGCACTATAATAAGAATAACAACAATTTTGTTTTGCATATATGTCATGTTATATTTCTATATTGACCATATATTTTCAGGCACATTGTCCTGCTGATTACTTCGATTCCATTACTTATAATTTTACATTATTTATTTACTTACTTTATTTACATTGGAATTCCATTAGTATTATTGGTAGTTCTCAAACTAGGTCAGACCTGTATCTTTGGGGTTGGGAGCACGGAAACCAAAAAGAACTAGTATGTATTCGTATATGCACTATACTTATAAAATCACAAATACTTATTTTTGATTGACTTATCATGCTTACGAAAAAAATTGTAGTAATCTACAAACATTACTATTGGGTGAATATATAATATATACCTAATACCTAAACATACAATTAATATAAAAAATGTGATAAAGGTGTATTATGCACTTTATAGGTACGATGGGATGATATTGTTTTTTAATGTTTTTTATTAATTATAAGTAAAACATTGGTTTAGATATGAGGTATCTGTATTAAACTCAACAATTACAAAAATCATAAATAAAAAGAATGCGCTTTCCACATTCTACCACTAGAGCGCCATCTATAGATGATATCTACGCATGTTAGGTTGACCTCCACGCGGTTTTCCCTGAAAACTATTGTGATAAATTCCTCGTCAATTTGTTACGATGGGCCAACTGACCTGACCTCGTGTTCATCTTATTATCCTCCACTGGTACCCCGCCAGCGTAATCCGTTAGCGCAGGCAGGTGGACCATTCCATTAATATAAAAAAAAACATAATTATGTATATGTATGTGTATACACCTCTTTACTTTATTGTTCTGAGCTACCCTGATCTATCAACTAACTCTATACTCGCGAACTTATATATATTAGCGCTAACTTATACTTATTTATATTGCGAATTTTTAGGAAATTCGCAATATACCTACCTAAGTTTGTCTAGATGTTTTGGAGTATGTCCAGAAAATATATATTATTTTTTCTTCTTTCCAGGGCTGTCACCATGTTGCAGCAGATACTGCGTGACATGTGGGTGGACCCGGAGATCCTCGCCGAGCTCGATGAAACTCAGAAACAGACACTATTCTGCAAGATGCGAGAAGAACAGGTACACAATATATATATATATATATATACATATACATATATGAAATATCATATAATACAATTGGTATACCTATTTCAAATATGCTTATTTCAAACTATTTTCCTTCCTCTTTACAATGTACTATAAACAAAATAATAACATAAATATATTTGTTTAATTATTCTAATGATATATTAAGTAAATATACAGTTACTATATGAATATTAGATTATAAAACAACAACTCATTATTTAAAAGCCAGTTAAATATTTACTTTTGCCAAATCATAAAAATTATAATAATTTTCTTTTTAATCTATAATATCAATTTTAACAAAATCAATAGGTATGCCATGTTAATATTTCTGTTGTCAGTATAAAAGTAAATTCTTCAGATTGTATTCACATTTGGCAGTACGTATTCACATAAAAGTCTTAAATACGTTCTGAAAAACATTCGTAATTAATTTAAAAGAACAAACCACAAGTTTCTCGCTCATTCTTCTTTTGATGAAACTGCGTTCCAAATGTGTCATAGAATAAATGAGATTATTAAGAACTGCTTATTTAAAAAAAGATAATTTCTTTTCTAAAAAAATAATTAACGAGTATTGTATAACATACATAAATAAAATATTATAGTTTTATTGTGATAATCTTTCTAAGAAGTTAGTCAAGACTATGGACGATACTCTGTGATGTTACCGTAGTCATGCTTACGGAGTCAGCTACTTACCCAACTGTGTCCGAACTTCTCAATGTGTTTACAACAGTACAGTGTTGCCACATTATAAAAATTTTACGGCAGTTTTTGTTTAATTACGAATAGATGTAATTTGCCGGTGAAATGAACCTTGACTGTGTAATTTAACTATTGATATAATGTGTTACTGAAGATAAAGAAAACAATAAACTTCTACATAATTATAATAAATCAAAACGTTTATTGTTATTGAATATTTTTTGATAATTTACATTGATTTTCATATAATTCAGTATGGAAAGCAGACTTATTTAATGTAATTTATTTACATTTATACAATTTAATGACAGTTGTTTTTTTTTAATAAATCATGTAATTATGTAACACATTACGGATGAAATATTGCAATCAGTGTGTTTCATAAAATAATATTCTAAACTATACAATTTTTTTTATATATTTTTTTATAAACAAAGAATCGCATTGCAAACAAAAGCACAAAAATTGTTAAACGATTAAAGCAAATACTAAATTTTAAGTGAAGCTTACCACAATGTTTGAGAAATTTTTTATCGAATTAGATGTTCTTTTGCGGAAACCCATTTCATTATTTAATGCATCTATAATATCTTTTTCAACTCCGCTACCATTAGCATGTGTGAGACTGAGATTTATTGTGGAAACCTTTATTGGAAGCGTTCTCCTTCTTCTTCTTCTTGAAACCTTCTCTGTTGGTGATCAAATTCCGAACGTTATTGAGTATCCACCCATATTGCGACGTGCTTACTGTTCGGCGACCAAATTGCTAGAGTCGTTTTTGCTAGTTTGGTCGCCGAAGTCAGCACTGGGCTTCAAGTTATATCCGACCTCTATCCAATGATGATGCCTCGTTTAGAGGTGAAACACGTTTCGCAATATGGGTGTAGACTCGATTATTGTTTTGGGTTATGTTACGTTTCCCAACCATAGGTTATTTCATAAAAACATGTACAGACAGCGAGTAGTTATATTTTTATTATTATGACATATAATATTAGTTAATTCTTTATTCTACCTATTTGTAAAATGTACAATTGAATGTTGATTTCAGTGTTCTTTAAAGTGGTTAGTGAATAATAACCCTCCAGTCATACTGATATTACTAACAAAGCGGTTCCTGGAATAAACCTACGAGTATGACTCAGAACTTGCTCATTTCACTTATACTCGGCTCGGGGAATGTATTTATAATGCGAATTTAAGTATCTACTTATCCTAACAACTATATATAGTTCAATAGCACCGGTAGATAATCAGGGACGTGAGTATTTATATAGCTAATCACTTCATCTCAAGAATTTTTTATTTTATTTACGATAATATAAATTACTATTTATCAAAATCAAGACAAATCATCAATTGATCAAATGACGACGGTTGCCAGGGGAAACCTTGTGGAAGTCAAACTGCCATGGTACATTGTTAGCAATTAAGTTTAATGATATGAATGAATCAACTAAGTGTTTGTTTTAAATTGGTTTCAATCGACTATTTCTTATTACACGGTCCTATACTATGTACAAGTACTAGATAACTGACACATATTTGAATATGTAATTGTATTAAAATGTATAAACATAATGTAGTTTTAATACAAGTTTTTAGATTATAAAAATATGTATGAATTCAATATGTCGCATGTTTGTTTAAAATGGTCGCATAGACCATTTTGAACTCGACCATTTTGATTCCGTCGCGCCGTCGTCGGTGTCAGAAGACAGATACTATATAACTCGACATTCTATATGTTGTATATGATGATAATGACAACATAGCTGAGCAAAATAAAGATATGTATATATTAATACGTGAACCAAAAACTTTGTTACTCTTTTTACGAAAATTGCGGGTACGGAGGAATATGAAATTCCGTACACTTATAGTTTACATAGATAAGGAGTGCAGAGTGCTAATATTTTTTTAAATTATACTTAAAAATACATTAAATCAATAAAAAAATTACATTGCACACATGATAGTGTGTGTAAAGTTTAATGTTTTGCGCGTTTTCATATATTTGTTTATTGTTAAAGTCTATGGTCAAATAGAGAACTTATTAATATTTATTAACAGAAATTATTAATATATTTAAATATTATTTGTCTAGTCTTTTTCTTATAATTTGGGGTTTCGGGCTATTGTTAGGAACAGAGACCTATGACACTGCGACCTGCATAGATCTATTGTGCTCGCCATTTTCCCTTGACCCGGAAGGGACAAGAATTGAAGGATATTCTTAGAGGCGATAGTTTTTATCTCCTCAGGATAGAGTGTATACTTTCCAAAGGAGATATTTCGTGTATGCATGAGTGGACTACAACTACATAAGATGTGTAGTGGCGTTTCCTCCTCTGGTTGCAAAATCTGCAGATTGTTACAGTCTTACTGAATTTTAAATTAATTATGGTCGAATTTCGACCACTGGGTGACCACTATTCAAATTAATCATCGACATGTCATAATGTTTCTGAAAATGATTGCAGGTGCGTCGCTGGCAGGCGTGGGACCAGAAGGTGAGCAAAGATGATGAACGGCCCAAATTCCAGAAGAACGTCAAGAAACAAGTGCAATTCCTTAAGGGCGAGGATGGAGAGCCTTGGGTAAGTTCAGTTACCCTTATTATGTACTGTAGATACTAGGGACAACATTATATTTTTGATTGAGATTTTTCCGCCCTGGCATCGGCTGTATTACAAGTCTTTGAATTTCTTCGTTTTCTGGACTATAATATGTATGTACCATAACTATAAACCAACAGGCTCAGTGGTCTGATGGTTTAGCACAAAGCTCTACGCCTGAAGGTCGTGGGCTCATTTTTATAAGGTTCATTTCTTGTAAATAAATACATACATACCCAGACGAATAATTAATTATGCTTCAAATTTTGGACACTGGGCGACCACTAGATATTATACATGTACAATTGTACATCTATACTAAGTGCTTTGGCAGAGCACGCCCCTTGACTATCATAAAAAACTATCCCTCTAAACGCTAATTTATTTTCCATTAATAACTTAAGTGTTTTTTGTCATATATTGGCCTTGAGTACTCATTGTGACCTTTACAATCGCCATTCATGCAATCATCGTATTGCAAAATAATGGCTAAAGCTTTCAATGCCGATTGGCGAACATCTCTTGCATTGCATTTTTGGATGTTCACATTCAATACTTTCATCATTATTCTATTTTATCACTTCGTTTGTTTAATCCCTTTATAACTCGTTACTGTGCTTTGGATTTTTTTTATGTCCCATATTAATATGATATGTGAAGTCGGTTTACCATTTTAAGTAAACATAATGTAAAGTAAAAAAATCCATCCATCAATGGCTGTGGTTAATTTATATGCGGTCGAAGTGAGAGCGAGAGGTCATCTGAAAAATCTTGGCCTGTTTAGAAATTCAATGGGTTCTGTAATAGAACGCGTATGTAAAGCTGTACTAGCAGGCTATTACCAGGTTAGGCTGGGCCGGGAGAAAAACACGAAGGGTCATGGTCAGCGTTCAGCAAAAGGCCCTTAAATCTACAACCAGGTCACACTGCTCGAAGTTTCCCTCAAAATGGACTCCATGTAATACTAAAGAGTTCGTTTCTACGTTACTGAACTCTTATACTACTTGGCATCTTATGTTAGTTAGAGTTAGAGTTAAAAAAATAGTAAAAGTCAATATTAATCGTTTCCCGCGATATTGCCCGCATATGGCCTATTTTACTATCTGATAATGAACCTGATATTGGAAAAGGATTTAAAAAATCAGTTAAGTAGATTTTAGAAATATCCAGTATGGCGGAGAAACAGAAAGTATCTCTGTCTGTGCAGCTTTGGTTAATGTATAGTTAGATAAAAAGATATAACTGATGATTATCTAACAAAACCTGTTTGACTGATTTAATAGAGCACTGACAATGGCGTGAAGGTTTCGTTCATTGGGGTATGTATAGATTAGCTATATGGTGGGGTGTGTGTGTGTGTGTGTGTGTGGTGTACATTATGGAATGTACCGTAATATTTTTTTGCACTCAATAAATGATATTGTCTGTCATATTTTGTTCATATTTACATCAAAGTAAAACCGCTAACGTATTTAAAAATTCTAAACCAACTTAGATTAGTTATTTTATAAATGACACAGGCTTGAATTGGTCCAAATTTTATCATTAAAATGAAAGAAATTAAGATTTATTATAGAATAAAATAAAACTTTTTGAACAAAATTTTCATAGAAGAAAAGTTATTTAATGCTATCGTATATGATAGACGCAAAAAAAACCATTCTAAATAGAATTCTCTTGGCATCTAAAAGATCACTAAAAAAGTGGTCAAATCAGACGTATCTTAATTACATTTACATATGGTTACACTACATGAGGGACCTTTGTATCAAACAGAATACAATGTGTTCTGTATCTTGAGTTCAATGCCATATCCGGAGTGCCGGTAATTAATAAAAGTCGCCACAATTGCTGAATGCCTCGTTTCTTTATTAGGTGCAGTGGATTGATTGCTGTACTTTATACTGCTAATGGAAACTGTGAATAATATAAGTCCGGCCACATTATTCGGTTTAATCGATTTTTTAAATTTTAGCTGAATGTTTTTTCTTTGGTAAGGGATGATAATGCGATTGTGCACCCGCCTGCGATAGCGGTATACACTGGCGGGGCATCGGTGGAGGATGACTGTCGTGGCAAATTCACTAGGAATTTAACATGATGACATTGCTAGCAATGAGGTCATTCAAATTTCAAATTTTTCCACATACAAAATATCTTTTTTGTTACTAAATATCTTTATGTCAAATCTACCGTCAGTTCGGAATGATTTCGAGATGAGAAGAATTGAAGAAGAACACTTGACACAGAAACTTGTTGACAAGAAATTATTAGTCCACAATAGTCCACATTACTAACAAGTTTTCCTTTCCTTCAGTCGAATGTTCTCCTCGCATTCACTGGCGCGTTTGGCGCTATGTACCGCTCTCTATGATAACTTACATGACCTAGTCATACATTGTTAGGTTAGGTCATTTTTGGTGTATATTTAGAACGTCTGAGAATGGGTACTAAGCTGTTTTTATACCCCTAAGACATAAGAGTGACTCTATCCAGAAATCATTTATATGGCAAAACATGTTTTCTCGGGTATAGTAGTAGTATATAATTATACGTATTTTTATCCTTGATTGCAGGTGTGGGTGATGGGTGAACATCCAGATGACAAGTCGATAGACACTATACTGACGGAGGAAGCAAGGCAGCGGGTGTTTGCTCAGGCGCGTGAGGAAGCCCACCAGCTCAGGAAATCAGTGGAGAAGGAACTCACACAGCTCATAGACTACAAACCACTCGACAGTTTAGAACAGGTAAAGGCATAAACTATTCATATCACTCTCAATAAAATAGCAGAGACAACGGATTTGTTTGTGTGTAGTCTGTGTGAATTCACAAAAACAACATTGTATGTTATATGTTATATTAACGAACATGTATAATATAGAATTAGATACACTATTGTATTGGGCTTAGGCCTGTAATAATAGTTGTGTAAGTAAATAAATAATAATATAAAAAAATATTTTTTAAACTCGATCCATAAATGACCAAAATATATATGGACATACATGGCGATCGAACAGAAGATTCTCGTCCTTGTTTCTTAAAAACAACCCGCACACGCTTTTGTATGAATACAATATTCGTAGATATATTTAATGTTTATACGCTTTTTTTACTTGTTACAATGTTTGTGTGTTTGTTAAAGTCAAAGAAAAAGCGAATCCATACCAATATTATAAATGTATTTATCTATCTGCTTGTTACTTTATCACTACTAAACTTATGAACGAATCTTAATGAAAATTTGCTTGAAGACTATTGCATAAGCTATCTTTTATCTCAATACAGCGGACAAAGTCGCGAGTAGCAGGTAATTTATAATAAAATCATCAATATCTAAACCTAATAATAATTGTGACAAAAGCTTTAGAGTATCAAACTACATAGTAAGGATAACCATAGGAATAAAACAAACAAAAAAACTATTAACAAAACCGTTTAGTATTTGTAAAAGATTTCACTTAAAGTAGGCACGTAGTACTGAAAAATTGTTAACTAATTAGGTATTGGATTTTCCCGAGTATAATAAACATTGTGAAAAAATCACAAAACTGAAACGACACTGACATCCTTTCCACTTCACATAAAATGTATATATACGATAAGATAATTTAGGGTATACGAGTAGGTATATATTGAATGAGCACTATTATCAGAGATGTTGTTTAAACTAACATATATTTTATCTGTCTCATTCTTTGCACTTACATTTGTATTATCATAATGTGTTATTGGGTTTTTTAATACCAGCGCAGTTTTGATTCTGTATCTAATAAAAACCTTGAATATGTTTTTATGGAGTAGGTACTGACTACCTTGCGTGCACCTAGCAACTTAAACAAAAAGGAACTTTTTTTAATTGACAACCATTACATTTATATAAACATACATACAATAACAATTAACGTTACGTTAAAACGTACATTACATTTCTGGTGGGCAAGATGGCCGACATATGCCGTGACAGGTAACTTGCGGGTTGTTGGTCTCTGGTCTTTAAATTCTTGAATGTTGTATGAAAATTAATAAACTGTGCAGACGAATTAAAACAGTGTGCACTTTGGTAATCAATGTTTTTTAAAGAAATATTTGTGTCATTCTTTTCAGAAATTTGATCTGTCACCGAAAACATTAGACCCATTAGAAGATACTTTAGAAATATACTGCACAGTGGATGAACTTCGTCAGAGAATCGAGGCCTTGGAGCCTGAGGTGAAGATCTCTGACAATGGCATGAGGGATATTGGCGACAGCGCGGACTACTGTAGTGACACCTTGAAGTTGGACCTCAACAAGAATACCTTGCATTTCAACTTTATCGAAGGCAAGAGAGATGTATTACAGGTTAGTTTTGTTATCTATGGTAATAGCATTAATTTAATTTCAATTGAGTATTCAGCACCCATTGAGGGCGAAGTGAATAAAGGTGTCGCGGTTTCCATTGTGAGATGAATAATGTAGTTAAAAAATACACGTTACGGCGAACCCAAACAATCAATAGGACAAGGTCAGGAAAATTAAAACAGGAGGTTTGAGGTTCCTCCGCCACCTCACGACGGAATTAGCTTATATCCGTCATGAGGTGGCGGGGGAATAAATAACAATAATCAAAAACAACAAGCGAAATCGGCTGGTTGACTTGGAATGCGGGGAAAAATGGTAAGAGGTAAAATGGAAATGCGTCGTATTGACGTGCGCTGTCTTTTCCGCGCTAAATTGATCATCAAATTCTGATCGTACGTGAAAGAACATATCGTGTAAAGGCTACTAATCTGTGTGTGTGTGTGCAGGAACTGGGCGGGGGTTGTGCGGCCGGCGTGAGCACGCGGGTGGCGGCGTGGGAGCGGCGCGTGGCTGCGGCCCGTGCTGGAGACTTGCTGCGCGGACTGCGCGCGAGACGCGCTCGTGCTCTCCGCGACAACCAGATCAGGGACGACGACCGCGCCTGGCTCGACCAAGGTACGCAAACTATTTTGATCTTAATTTAAATAATTTTAACATTTATTATTTGCCGATTTGATTGTCTAATCAATAAGTATTGCAGCGTTCGCTTTATCCGTTAATTTACAAGAATAAAAATATCATCAAAGGAGATCTATTAACTGTTTTGTTTAAGACACATAATGTTGGAATAATATATAATAATAATATAATGCCCTGAACATTTTACACAAGCCATCTAATCCCAAGCTAAGTAGAGCTTGTGTATAATTAATATAATTTGAAATATTATATACATTTTTTCACAGCCAGACCGATACAAACAATCATACTCATGAATACAAATGTTTGTACCGTGCGAGGAATTGATCCAGCGATCATAAGCGAAGTAAAGTGTGCTAAATCGCTAGATAACCGAAGCCGCGGCTGTCAAAAAATATATGATATGCAAGAATTGAATGAATGTCGCTTTGTCGTATTTATGTTAAAATTAATTTTAAGATTTGATCACAACACGGATATTATTATTACCACAGAGCGCAAAGCAAAAGAAGCAGAAGCTACGATGCGTCAAATCGCACGACAAGCGCGAGAGGCTCATCGGCGTAGCACAGAACTGCGGGGAGTCCAACCACCACCCCAGCCGCAAGGTAACTTTCCTACCAGTTCTTATATTATATTCAGATCAGAGCTCTTAGGCTACGTCCACTCATTTAAGCAGTTCGCTGGGTATCGTAGTCTATCTACTCCGATATCCAAATGTAAACGCGCTGCGCACTCTTAGACTACGTACATATAAACAATTCGCTGAGAGTAGAGAAAATTGCGAATCACTTAACGAGAATGTTCTAGAATTTTCGTACACGCACGCGTAACATCTTCGTAGTAAATTAGTTTTTATTATGAGGCACGAGATTTTTTTTGTAACTTATATCTCGTCGACGACAAATCTCTTGGACATACCTCGTGGTGTCATCAAGTATCCCTGCAACTAACCAGAATGTTAGTCACTAGTCTGCGTCATTTGTGCGACTCAAGACAGGACTGTTAGTAGCCTAGTGCATATAACTCACATATATATTTACTTGTATTTTTTCTACTACTCTACTTAAATATTATTTCATATGTATGTTAGTCTATAAGGTATTTATAATATGGCTCTAGTTTTCTGAAAGAAATAATAATATGCAACTGAGTGCAATCAAGTTGAGAACTATTGAGAACATTGAATTACGAGTAGGTTCGATAATTATTTTTAAATACATACTTTCAGCTGGAAAACCACCAAGCAGAGAGGCGGTGATGGAGTGGTTCAGGACACAGGAACTGAAGCGAGGCGTGGGGCTCGATGATAACAATAAACCCATAGAATGGTTTCATGGTGAATTATTATTTTGTTACAAATATGTAATTTTTATTTGTTCCATTTTTCTTTTGAAAACAATTACATGGCGGACTTTATGCCGGATGTCATTCTTTACCAGTCAACCGTCACTCTAAGATAATAAGGCAATTAAATCATTTTTACTCTTAATAGCTCGTAAAACTCTGTTGCAACTCTTTATCACCTAATTTTGTCAGCATGTTGCAATTCTAATCTTTAGTCTAATTTGAATGGTGAGCAGGAAAATTCCAGTACACGAAGTCATAACGCCTTAATCTTTAAAATGGCAACTCCTGATAACAATAATATATATTGGGACACTGTTGAGCAGTGCTGTTCATGAATATAGGTGATAGTTACCGCATTTTATCACAGAAACCGTTAGATTATCTGCTTCTCAAATTATAAGACGAATATGTACAAAATTTATCCAATAATTTTGATATTTAGATCTCCAAATTTATACTTCAGAACACGCACCTTATCTTAATATACTCTGGTTTATACCAGAGTTAAAAATAATGAAGGAATGCTTTTATGATGAGGTACGCCTAAAGACTGCTATGGTTAAACTAATGAATATTTTCTTCATTGATGATAATGAAATTGAGCTTAGTGCTCCCGCCTGCGTTATTGGTTCAGTCAATAACGCAGACCACAGTAGCCCACATTACTAACAATGATCGCTCATGAACCTTTGTAATGGCAGGTCTGATCACCCGATCAGAAGCAGAGCAGATTCTGTCTGGTCAGCCGGCGGGTAGCTTCTTGGTCCGTATCTCGGAGCGCGTGTGGGGATATGCGATCTCGTACCGCGAGGGTGGTCGCTGCAAGCACTACCTCATAGAGACAGGAGGGGTCGGCTACCGGCTGCTGGGGGCGGACCAACCCACACATGACACATTAGGTATAAATGTATATATATTATACAACTAAATAGAAAGACAAATAATCTTTAGTTAAATAACTTGATATATATAAGCACTTTTGAATAGGCACATTTTTTTTTATTCGGAACGCAGACTAACCACAAGAAGACTATAAATTATCACTAGATAAACACATTATTATAATTTATGAATAGAATTAAGTGTCTGTTTATAATTTCAAATTAATGACTTTTCACGAAATGCATATGAGAGTACGTTTAAATAAAAAAATATTTTAATTTTTTTATTGTCGTACGTCGGCATGGTGCTCCTTAAACGGACACCCGGGACACAAGTCCCGGGAACCGCTCGTAATTTCTCTCTCTGCCACATAATAGAGCTGGCACCCTCGCAGTGATTCCATGGAATGCTAAGAAACTCGATATGCTATTAATAATTTGTTTACATTGTTTCAGCTGATCTCATAAATTATCATAAGAAAGTCGCCATCACAGAGAGTGGCGGTGAACTGCTGCGGACAGCGTGTGTAGTCGCGCAGACTCCCGCCTGCCTTGCAGCCGCTACTTGAGCCTTCCGCCACCTACCTTACACTCGTAAGAGGCAGACACCTGCCTTACATTCGTCACACGAGATACCTGCCTGTCTATCTCACACTTATTGCGCGAAGCAACCGTTCGCCTGCCTTAAACTCATATGAGGCAGCCATCTGCCTTACACCCGTCACGTGAGACTTTTATATCTCACCCTAGTTACGAGAGATATAAAGAAGACGTCTGCATGTCTGCCTTATAATCGTCTTTCGAGATTACTGACTGACCGTCTCACTTTCGTAACTTCATGTCTTATTTATCAGTGAGCGATGGGATACCGCAATTTGCCTTATTTTCAATGCATGAGGTAGGCCTTGTACTCATCACTTGATCTGGATAAATCTGCCTTATCCTGGTTACGTAAAAAACGTGGCTTTTCTGTTTTCTACTTTATTTTTTTATCTATGTTTTTAAAACTCTCTTTGTATAAAATACATAAATTAAATCTGTGATTAGGTTTTTAATACTAACTGTGTGACAATAAATACGGTAGATCTGTAACTTACGACGCATGTGAGGCGCCTAACTCGAGTCTACTATATCAGTTCACTGCCAAATTATCTTGGTATTTATGAGAATCTTATAGAATATTAAATACCAAACTATTCAATTTAATCAGAGAGCTAATTACTTAGTACTTACTTCCTCAATCATACAAACATTAGTCTTCCAATAAATTATTAGGTATTTGTGTGTTAAATAAATTTAGAGATTGAATTTTTGTCATAAATTACAATATGTTTGGAAAAAATATTGTCAGTTCGATTGTTGTGAACACACTCGGCGGACGTTCTGTGTTAGCTCTGCTTTGTCTAATCTTGTAACTCCTATGAGATTTAATGCATCAGTCATATATTTAGTCACTAAGCTATCTTTTTGTATATTATTATAGTTTCACCTTTATCGCTAGTTTTAAGGACGTGATAAGCCGAGATTTAATATTGTTACTACACGAAATCAACGGCACATTGTGTTAAGTTAAGAATGTTATCATATTCTATGATAAGTTTATGCTAATGTATTGTGCCTGTATTGTATTCGTTGGCAATTATCCGTGGTGCTAACAATTGATTCGAATAAATTATACCCCCTCACAATTTATCTATAGTAGGGGTTGATCTCGATAGTTCGAAAGATCTAAAACACTGCCTTCCTTATTCATAAAAATCAACGTTCAATTATTTTAGCTATCAACTATTTAATCCTAATTTTTAATGAAATAAAATTCCTAATTTGAAAGAGTATCATATAATATTGGAATAATTTACGACAGACGGACAGATACTGACACAAGTTGAATCTGTGGTCGACCATAGTGCTACCGATTACCGGTGTTATCTACTCTGTGCTTCCCTTATTATTTTCTCTATATTTAGTGTTTCTGATCATCTTATTCAGTAATATAAGTTTGTTTTTGTGAATAAGTGAGTAAGTATATGCATTTTTAGCAATAATAAGAACAAAGTATGTTACTTTACTGTGTAGTTATTTATTGTGATAATCAACCAATCTCCTATAAATACACATCGCTGCAGTATTACAATGCTTAAAATATGATTACGACCTAGTTCGGAGTAAAAGAGCCAAAGTTTAAATTCTGTGCATCAGAATTTGAGACTTCTTCTCAAGTCGTTAAGGTCTATTGTTTAAAACGATGTGTATGCCATTTGTCGTTAGTAGAACAGATAGATCTACTATGTTGTAGAATTAGTTTCAAGTCATCAGAATTTGTATACTACTAAATATATAGTCATAGACAACTAAAATAAAATATATATACAAAAAAAAGTTTTATTTTTTAAATTGTCCTCAAATCTGTATTTAAAACTAGTTTTTATATAAAGCTATCTGACGTATGTCATGACAATTTTTTTTTATACTACGATTCTGGCAAACAAGGGTACGGCCCATATCATATGAAACATATATAATTTATCGTTTATGTTGTGTCAATCAACGGACAGAACAAAAAAAACTAATAGAGAACATAAACCATATCATATATTATGTCAAATAAGATTTTGTACTGAAGACAAATTAAAAATGAATACGAAAATGTAGGACTTCAACATTACAATAAAATACGGTTATTTTAATATAGCGTTTATTAAAAGGCGAATAAGCAGCATAACACTATACATATTTACAAACATTTTCACTATAGTCATTATACATATAAATAATAAATCTACATATACAAAATGTGTCAAAAATTTCTATGGACAAATTCGATATTATATTTCTTTGGCCGTTTCGTTAATGTTGACATTTTGCATACTTAACATTTATATCCTTTTCTATGCTGTTATAATTAATAAATATAATAAATAAATTAAATATGATAAATTGCTTCTTTAAATCTTCAAAGTAATAACGTTTTAACAATAACAAAAAGTGTGGGGCTAACATCTAATTAACAAAGATGTATATAATATTTATGATACTAAAATTTACTTGTACAAAAACTGTGCAGACGTTTCGAGGATTGTCCGTGTCAAATTTCATTGTTAATGACATACAATCATTAATTTTAATTAAAAAAATCCAAAGATTTCTCATAGAGAAACTGTACAAAAAGTCCCAAAATGATCATGGTCCAGGTTCCCAAGATAGTACCCGTTTCAAGTTCCCGGCCTATAAGTAGTCTATAGTCTAGTGGTTTTGCACACCGCTTCTGACAGTCGCGGGTTCGATTCCTCGCGCGGTGCAAACATAAATAATAAACACCCTTGACTAATTAGATGAGTATGATTGTTTGAATCGATCTGAGTGTTTTCTATCTATATTATGTGTATAAGAAAAAAACAGTTGTTGATATAAACACTTAATTTTCTTTCTAGTACCCATAATACAAGCTCTGCTTATCTTGGGACTACATGCAGGGTGAAGGGTGAATTGTCCAGGTTTATTATTATGAATAACATACCGGAAAAAGAAGCTGCTTTACGGCTAGCAGCAATAGGTGGTGAAGACAGAGTTCTCTATGCAGACGACTTTACACAAGTTTAAGTTAGTTATTTCTGGTAAAGTTATACGTAATCGCAAACCTGTCGATTTGAGAGACGATGAGACCTGGTTTAGGGTCATGTAACAAGCATAAGTAGTTATCTTCTGCTGCTTTCTATTTGGTACCAGGGGACTGATCTTCCATTCATTAGTTGGTTTTTTTCACAACAGAGCCCCATCAATGTTTTTAACTAATTATTATTTTTGAAGTCTAGTAGAGGGCGCCTGTCGTAATGCAGTATGAAGATAAGGGAAATTGTAAAGGACTTCTCATGTTTTTAACACAAAGCATTTTATATGTACATTATGCAGGTCTATAGGCGACAGCCACGATTTTTCAACAGTTTTGCTCTATTTTTGTATTCCTGTAGTATGTTTACAATCATATAAAAACCATGTTTAATTAAAGTTAACTTGTGTGTCTGTGTGTGAAAAAAATATCGGAGTTTGTTTGTATGTATCTACAAAAAAACCGCCAGTTTTTTTGTAGATACATACACAACACGCTACAAAACGAGCAAAATTTAGACAGCGTAAATACTACACGAGTGTACCAGTATGTCAACCAGTAGGGTGAAATGGTCTGTCGTACGGCGGATAAAATCTGCCTCTCACACCACTACATAAAGACGCTATGTAAATGACCGTTCTGTCAAGATCGTATCGAATAAGAAGATTTTGACGGCCTCGATGTTCTAGTGGTGTAGCACACCGCCTTACTTCCGATGGTCGCGGGTTCGATTCTTCGCACGGCACAAACATTTGTATTCATGAGTATAATTGTTTGTATCGCTCTGGGTGTTTTCTGTGTATAATATGTATGTATTTACGAAAAAGAATATCTATGTATTTGTATCAGTTATCTAGTGCCCATAACACAAGTTTTAGATAGTTTAACTTGGATCTAGATGGCGCTGCTTGTATTATCCTGAGATTATTATTATTCCCAATGATATTTTATGGACAATCCTCAGTACTATTTTTAACAGCAGTCTTATTAGAGATATTACATACAGTAGTTAAAAATCGTGTAAAACCGGGCGATCGGATCAGTAGTAAGCTCTCGATAACCCGAATGTGTGAGGTCACATATACGGTAGGTTAGTGGGTGATCGCCCGTTCGTTGCCAGTTCGGGCACTCGCTGCAAAATGAAAAAAAAACAATTTATTCATTACTTTTTTATAATAAAAAGTAATTTATAACATAATTATCTCTGTGTCATGAACTACACTTCTCGTAAAAATTAAGGGAACAGAATTTTTTTTCCAAAATTATGGGTGATTCTCAACAGGCTCTATTTCAGTGAAAAATGGCCGCACAGAAAATAAAAAAATAAGCACTTGAAGCTTGAAGATTCTAGTTTTCAGATATTTGTGATAAAAAAATTTAAGTGCTTCGGTTCTCATGCAATCATAAGATGAAGCATGAAAAAAACTTTTTATAAAATTTTTACATTTTGTTTTTTACTCTATGGCCATGGAAAAGTTTTTGAGCTACGCCAATACATTGGAAAAATTTTTTTAGTTTAGTTTGAATCTAGATGGTCCTGGGGGAATAGTCCTGGGTTATTATTATTATACATAGACTAAGAGGAGTTTCATGTTAAAAAATAATGAAGGGACTGTAATAAGGGATGAAAGGGATGAATGAGTCGCGGATAAAAGCAGGTATGTACTAAGTCATTATTATTATTATTAACTATAAACTCACCGAAGTAACCCACATGTCGTATGATTTTGAGCCGGTGGTGTGCGCGGGTGGGTTCTTCGCTTTTTTCATTGGGCTGTTGCTCGCTGAAAATACATGTAAATATTTTTTTTTAACAATTCAGTATTTTTCACAGAATACCATCTATTATATATAGATGTACAGAATACATTTTTTAGAATACATACAATACATTTATAACACCAAAAATAGTACAAACAAACATGTTTACCAATACAAATATTGGTAAACATGATTATCTGTAAGAGATCGCTTTGAGCGATAAGGCCGCCTTTTGTTCGCATATTTTTCTTTCTTTCTTTTTTGTAACTATTTGTTATTTTTTTTTATGCGCAATAAAGAGTTTTTATTATTATTACTATTATTATATTTTAATCGTATGAAGAAACGAGAAATTCCAACAACGGAAGTAAAACGACGCTATAATATAATATTATTTGAACTACATTTTAACTGATATTCTAACTAATTTTGATGGCTTCGTTGGTCTATTGGCACAGCGACTTACTTCCGTTAGTCGTGGATTCGATTCCACGCACTATGCAAATATTTGTATTCATGAGTATGATTTTAGTAATCTGGATGTTTTCTATAAATATTATGTATGTATTTACGAAAAAAATATGTTATATTATATTTAATTATTTCTATGTGTTGTCTAGTACCCAAGTACAAGCTCTGCTTAGCTTGGGTCTAGATGATGGTTGGGTTGGGTCTAGATTGTCCAGTTCCACCACTAACCTCCTGGCACGTATGGTAGCGAAAGTTCTGGCGGTTTCTTGATTGTTTTCTTCGTGACAGCGCGACCACGCAGTAACTCTTCATCCATCACCAGCTTGTTGTTCACCCTGATGATAACAGATAACAAATCCATATATTTGCATGTTTAAATTTTATATTTTTAATGCATAGATTGTATGAAGGACTGGATGGTAGGGTTAAAACACTCTCTAAAGTATAGAGGGTCGAATAAACAGCTCCAGTATGGATTTTAATGAAACTTAGAATAATATCAGAATAACACATAGAATACAAATTTCAAGCGTAAAACCGCGGGCACAACTAGTAAACTATAAAAATTTATGTGCTTAAGTGGCCAAAGATATTCTATAGTAATGTAATCTATAATACTTTTGATTTTGTATTTTTATTATATACTACTAGCTACCCACTTGTTATACATATAAAGCTTCCTCTTGAATCACCCTATCGTTTAAAAAAAACCGCATCAAATTCTGTTGCGTAGCTTTAAAGATTTAAGCATACATGGGGACGGACAGACAGCGACAGTGACTTTGTTTTATACTATGTAATGATGTCTGTTTCTTATTTGGGTATAGTTATATATAATTATGTACTTACTTTTTAATATATGGCGTACGCGGGTAACTATTTACAGGTACTGGGAACGTCTGAAAATAATATATTTACTTATTATTGTTTAGGTATTCTAATAATAATAGCCTTACATATTTTACACAACGCCATCTAGTCCCAAAAAATTGTAACTTGAAGTTAATTTCTATAATGTTTACTAGATGGCGTTCTTTATCTTTTACAGAACGTTGTCTAAATTTTTTCTGGTTTAATGGAGCTACCATTGTAATTAAGCTAACACTTCAATAAAAGTTTACGGCTATTGCCATCAATAGTAACATTTTGAACTAACGGTATCTAGTTATTCAAAGCCATAAAAGAAACGATGATGAATGATGAATAATAAAACTAATATCTTAGCATGAGTGGCGGACTAACGATAAAGCAACCCTGTTATTCCAGGCTAGGCATTATCAATTAATGAATCTGGAATAATAAAAATTTCACATTTTTCTGTAAAAAAAATTGAAAAATTTTGGACCGCATAAATTACGGGCTTCAGGCACGTACCTAGCTTGCATAGGCCTTAGTCCGCCTTTGCTTAGTAGAATTCTGCAATCATTCTATATTGTCTATGCATAACTTACTTGGAAAGTGTCGTTGATGGCACGAGCGAGGGAGCGCGGTAGGGCGGGACGCGCGGGTGGAGGCAACATATCCATAGACTAAAAATATTAAAATATTAATCCATATCCAAAATGGGAGTGTAATTATAATATAAAACACCATACATTATTTAGTTCTCCTTCGATCCATAGCTCTATTCAAACGGCGATGGAAATTACGACATCCTGAGCCCAGGACCGAACCCCTACTAGGACTCAGACTAAAGTTTTATCCGTCAGGCAGGAGTTGGCTTTCAGGCGCTCTATAAGTCCTTTTGCGGGCTTGGAGAGCCGTCCGCACTCTCCCCTTATCGTTTGCTGAAGCGGTAAAGGCTAGCTACGACCATCAGTATTAGAATAAAGAGTCAGTCTGCCTAGCCTTGGGGTTAGGTTTATTTCCTTATCTTGAAAATACTATATGTATTTGTGCTTTATTCTTTTCCATTTTGTTTTTAAAAACACCAAATGTTTATAGTCCTGTAAATATTGTTTTGTTCTTACCATTCTCTTCATTTGATTTTTTAATAAGAGTGTATATTATTCGCGTTGCTAAAGAAATTTAAGTTGTATATATTTTTTTTTCATAAATGTAAGAAAACAGGTAAATTCTCACTTGTGTATTTTCGTGCGTTGGTGCTGGCTGATGTAGCGTCTTCTTCTCTGTTGAACTGGTCTCTAATCGAAGTTCTGAGGCTAAAGAATATAGGATACATTGAATGAGCTTGCTATAGTTTCATTAACTAAGCTGTGGATTATAAACTAACGTCTGTGGACGTTTTATTACATGGTTGTATATAAGTTGCAATATCAGCGTATTTATTTTTCTAAAACTTCAATTAGAAATATACAGTCCTCAATCTTCAATTTTATGTTTTATTTCTTAATCGAAATTTAAAACAAATGCCGCTTATTTTTTATACAGAATTCATAAATTCAAGTGTTTTTTGAGTTTATCCAATACAAAAATATAAAATTAAATATTTTTCTTCATAATATCATGTAAGCATCTTGTTAGATTGAATTATATACCGATTCGATATACGATATTCGAATATAAACATACTCTGAACGGGAGTCGATAGCGTGGTCTTATGTGTTTTCTGATTGATTATCTTTATTTAGTGAAAATTTATGTAATAAATAGCATATGCTGGTGGCTACTGTATTCATTGTAAAACTAATTTTTAATAATTATCTATTAATATAATGATGTATTTGAAAAGAGTGAGGGCCGAGTTTTTTCAGGTCTTCTTTACTCAAATTACTTTCGGTGTGATTTCACTTATCATAAGTGTCTGCAATGAGACATACATGATATTGTTATTTAATTAAAACTATAAATAGGTACTAACTGGGAGTGTAGTTGTAGTCTATAAGGGATTCGCCTGCAGTGCTGTCGGTCCTAGATCGACTGTGATCCTGCAAACATATGTTTAATTAGCTTGTGAAACTTCATTATGCTGTAACTAAATTACTATAGTACAGAATCATTATTCGACGGCCTCGGTGATCTAGCGGTTTAGGACACCGCTTTACTTCCTATGGTCGCGGATTAGATTCTTAGCACGACACAAACATTTGTATTCATGAGTTCGTTTTATTTGTATCGGTCTGGGTATTTTATATGTATGTATTTACAATAAAAAAATATCTGTATTTATATCAGTTGTCTAGTTCCAATAACTCAAGCTCTGCTTACCTTGGGACTAGATGGCGTTGTGTGAATTGTTCAAAGTATTATTATTATTATAAATTATTATTTATAAACCAAAAATATATTTTAGAGGATTAATTAAATTAGACTATGATATATTTTTCAAAATAAAAACAAAAAAAATATTAAAAACGATATTGATCATTTATATCGCCATCTATTGGAATTAATAAGTATGTAGTATACACCTAAGTGTTGAGACCTTGTGCTTTTGCCGTGTAAACATAAGTCAATGAAATTATTGATATTGTTAGAACATACCGGGATTATACTCAGTGTCCATTGCTGACGAGGTTTGCCAGGTGGTCGTGCTGTATTTTGTTGGGCTGGAGGTGGCTATATAAGAATAAAATATGTGATTAGAGAAAATGAAATATGAAGAATCATGTTTACAAGAAAAACTAAGGTATTTTTTTGAATGATTTGTTAGTTTACACCTAAGTTTACAATTTTAGGTGTTTTCTAAGTGTACCAACAGTAGCAAACAAAGTGGTGACCCATCTGATGGTAAATAGTACACGTCACCTAAAGATATGTTCAACAACCATAATGCGACGCCATACTTTTTTTAATGGAACAAAACAACAACAAAACCTTCTAACCTAAAGAGGTATATACCAAAGGTTGCAGTTCCATGCAGTTAATCGATATATTTGGTACTAACAGCTGTTACCGGCTTTTTTTTTATTAAAATAAATAGAAGTTCTAAAATAAAACTAGTCTCAACTACTCCTTATAATATTAGCTATCTGCGAGTAATAGTCCCGTCAAAATCGGCCCAGCCGTCTTAGATGAATGACTAGACAGACTGACTTTTTTATATAAGTGCCGTGTATATACTTTCAAATGCATTTAGTGAAAAGCTGTTAATTTTAAATTACAAACAGACACTTCAATTTTATTTACTTGTATAGTACATAGTGCTAAGAAAGCACCTATGGGAAATTGAACCCGTAACAATCAGAATATGGGACAATGTATTATGATACAAATAAAATATAAGTCTAGTTTATTATACCCTTACTTACTTAACTTAACTTACTTACTTAACTTAGAATTATTACCTCTATTTCTTTGCCAAGTTTTTTCCTCAGTTCAGCATTGAAATTTTCCGCAAAGCCGTCCGTAATAAAATATCTGGAAATAAAATTCACATTACATTTATTTATAAAAGTTTTTTAAATTAAATAAAGGAATTTTACTATATAGATATATACTAATTCTATATAGATGGAAAAATATTATACATTTCTTAAGTCATTTAGTCAGTAAGTTAAAATGTTCTTTACTTTATTATTACTGAAATAAAATAAACTTGTAAACCTGTATCTCAAATTCAATATTTCTCTGAAATAAATAAACATTTAATTTATTTATTTCAGAGAAATATTGAATTTGAGAATGAAATAATATAACTTAGTCATTGAAAAGCTTTGAAATCAAAATAATAAACGGTAAACCGTAATAGACCGAGACATTACATATTTTTAATACTAGTACAGATAATATATACACTAGAAAAACATGAAAGTCTCACTTGTGGCGTAAGAGTGCGGAAGCAGGCGGACGTGCGCGCGGCTCGGTACGCAAGCATACGGCCAGCAAGTCACGCGCCGCGCCAGCGCCTGGCAGACCCGGCCCGCCGCGCGCCGCACCCACACCCGCCGCCGCCGCCGCCAGCCGCGACACCACTTGCTGGTGACGAGGCGCCAGCTTACCTGGACCGGTCGTGAACCCTTAACACGTTGATTGCCAACTACGAGGTAACTCGTAAATCGGGTTCTTTTTTAGAACGCCAACTACGAGTTATATCGTACTGTGTTTACTTGCTTAAAACTTATTAAAAAACTAAAAAAATTTTTTGTGGACACTTTTTGAAATATCATGCTTTTTCATAATAAGTATGCAGTCGATTTTTTTAGGGATGGTACTCCCGTCTGCATTAACGGTTTACGCTAAAAGGTCACCAGTGAAAGATGATAGGATGAGCACGAAGTCAGGTAGTCAGTTGGCCTATCGTGATAAGTCACAAGGAATTTATCAGGATGGTTTACAGGGGGAACTACTTGGAGGTCACCCTGATAGCGAACATTGCCAGCAATGGTGTTATTAGTTCACAAAATCCTCATTCCCTCTTGCAGTAGAATTAGAGTTTGCAGTGGAATGTGATAAAAAATAAAATGTCAATTTGGCCAGATTTTTTAAAATTGCCGTGGCGGTAAATATTATATATTTTTTTTATTTCTGGATTGGCAAGTAATCGGATGGTACCTATGTACATGAACAGAACCTTGGTCATTACGTCCTCATGTGACATCTAAGGTACTTTTGATATGTTGCTTTTCCTGAAGATGATGTTAAGCCTCCTTATTTTGTAATTTCACTGTTTAATCTGATTCTTTAATCGAAAGACTAATGATATACATGTATCTAAAATAATAAATATAACCTTACCGACTATCCTTATAATGAGCGCTAGCTGGTCTATGTCTGAGTCTCCAGGAAACAATGGGTCCCCAGTAAGCATTTCGGCGAATAGGCACCCAATGGCCCATATATCTACCTCTGGGCCGTACCTGGAAAGATGCTTTAGTAAAGAAAATATGCAATCTAAATATTCAGTTCGCCTTTTTGAACTTAGACATTGCAAAATATATCAAAGTTTAAACTGCCATCTGCCATCTTTAAATATTTAATACAACGGGAAATTACGACGACCTCAGCAGAACTTCGAACCCCTAGTGGTGCCGTCAGACTAAAGTCGTATCCGTATTGAGCAGAGGGAGCCTCCGACCGCTACATAAGTTGAAGCCGATGCAGGTAAACGTGGAGTGGTGAGATATTGTGAATATAATGAGTTAAGTTTACAGCTGTCCGTGTCGCTTGCGCATATAGTGAGGATACGTGAGGATAGTGGACGCGTTCGCCTGCGGTGCGAGGGAAGTGATAACTGCATAGGGGTCGCTATCTACACACAAGCGGTGGGATTAATTTAATTACTAAATAAGTACGTATTCAGGCAAGTAATATAGAATCTTATAGATACACCCTACAAACAAACAATATATTTTAACAGTAAAGTATTAAATTATACATATATATAGTAAAAGGTAAGTATTAGTCTATATATACATTATGGTTATTTCTATATATTTTTATGTGTTTATTTTTATTAATATTTTAGTTTTATCACAGATAACATAATATTACATAGTTTTATTATCAGTTCCGGTTTGCAGTCGCGAGGCACGTCGGCTACATACATAAGTCCTTACACGGGTTTGGAGTGCTATCTGCACTCACCCCTAGTGAAGCTACAGAAATCATCTGACGCCAATAGCATTAAAATAACTCGAAAACTGAGATTTATTTTCGATTCAAACTACAATACATTCCGAACTGACGATGACATGAATAAAAATAGTTTTGATTGTAATACTACACTACAATATGAAAACATGGCTGATTGGATATCTAACAAATTGTATAAACACTCACCTGTGCTCTGCGACCAATAACTCAGGAGCTCTGTACCATCTAGTGGCCACATATTCTGTATATGGTTCGCCCGGGGCAGCTAGAGCCCTCGCGAATCCTAGGTCACATAACTTCACTATACCCGCGTTGGAGACCAACACATTTTCCGGCTTCACGTCACGGTGAATTATCTGAATCATTCGATTGTTTTTTATTTAATTGCAATGGCAAACAAGCTGATGGTCCACTTCACAGACAGTGGTAACAGTATGGTTTATATAATAATATTGACTCTGAACAATTCATACAGCGCCATCTGGTCCCCGCTAAACAGAGCTTGTGTTGTAGGTATTAGACAACTTCAAATATATTTAGGTTGGCTTCTCGTTGGGAAGAGTTACCGATGCTCACATTATCATGAGGAGTCAAAATAGAATAAAATTTAAAACCATCTATATTCCTAAACAAAGACTAGCTCTTTTTTCAAATAATGTAAGTACATTGTATGGCCATAAAAATTTACAATCATCTGCCAGTACCTATAGCAATTTATATTATATATTCAACAATTTAAAATTAAATTATTTAAACAAATATTAAATAAATGTTATATGTATACTTCTTTGTGTAAATAAATTGAATTGAATATCTACTTACAGAATTTTGATGACAGTATTCGATACCCTTCAGCAGCTGATAAAGATGTTTCTTGGCAGTATCTTCGCCTAATCCACCAGGAGACGCTTCTAGTTCATCAAGCAGCGTATGATCCAGGTATTCGAACACCAGGTAGAATCGCCGCTTCCGTCGGAATACTTCGATCATGTTCACTAGATGATCATGCCGCAATTTCTATTTTGAAATAAAAATTTATGTACTAGTTAAATATAAAAATATAAGTACCAATTTATTAATGATAACTACCAAAATCGCCTCGCGCAATTGGAAATCAATAATATTAAAGAAAAATCTATGGTAGACACGCTTACAACTAGCAAACATAAAATAATCTTCCTATTTCATTACAACATGTCGTGATGAACATGAACACGTTGCTACGTTTTTTTTTTACGAATTACTTTAACGGTTTTGGTCGCAGCTGGCCTTTACATTCACTGAACAATAGGGGACGAGTGCAAATGGAACTCTAAAATTCAATTTATTTAGACTTATGGAGCAGCTTAAGGCCAACTTCTATCTGACGAATACGATTTTAATCTGAAGACACCGCTAGGAGTGCGAACTTTGGCAAAGCCCGTAGTCATATCGATCCCTCTTTGAATTGGACGGAAGATCAGGTAAAGTCTTGTTATGTCTTCCCTATTCGTTCTAAATTACTACCTTTATTTACTTTTTATTGCACCAGAAGTGTATTACAAACAACATAAACAGTAAGCTATAAGACACAAAGGGCGGTCTTATGCGTAAGCAATCTCTTCCAGACAACCTTTGGGTAGAGGAAAGAAGACGGAAAGTGGTAGAAGACGTAAGAATGAACTAGAGAAATAAAAAAAGGCATAGCAATACTAAATACCTTTAACATCCTTATCTCTCTGAGTGCCATCTTCCTGACCGCCGCGTCGTCTTCTGTTTCGAGGAACTTCTTTATTGCGACCAACTGTCCGTTGTCGCGGCGACGGCATTTCAGGACCACGCCGTACGAACCTTCGCCCACCTGTCAGGTAAACTTGAAATCAATTGTGATTGATAGATAATGGAATTTATTTCCTAACTCTTATATTTTCATTTGTGTATGTATCAAAAGCTACTATTGGCTATTATGGTCGAGATTTAAACATTTCAAATAATACTAAAATATCTTTGAACAAGCTATAACAATTAAACAAAACAGTACACATACGTGTGTGTCTGTCAAAAGCGTAGTAGTGTGGGTAAGTTTTTATTTATTGATTTATTGTATTATATATATGCACAATTATGAAAAAAAATGTTAGCATTCTGCACTCCTTTATAAACTATACGTGTGCGAAATTTCATACTGCAACTCCGCCCGCTGCAATTTTTCTAAAAAAGGGCACAAAGTTTTTGCTTCACGAATTAATGTAATAAGACTCCTTATTGCACCAGTTATATTACAGCCGACAGGACTCAAAATTTACTGAATAATAGGTCACGTATTAATATACAGATAACTAATACGAATATTTATACATATATTGCTTTTCGACGCGTATTTTTTTTATTGTACCTGAATCCACTCCACAGTTCCTTTCAGTCACTCAAAGGTTGACTGGAAGAAATCCCTCTTTTGGGATAAGTCCGCCATTGTACCATTTTTTTAAAACATATGTGTCCTTCTGTTAATAATCTGTACAATAAAGAATTACAAACAAACAAGCGAATGAGATAGGCCGTCAATTCAAGAGAACTACGACGATACAAAGGCATCTTCGGTCTTTAATATAGCAACGCAAGAGGTGCACCACCGTCGTCACATGATGACATAATATCCTTGTTGTTCGTAGGCGACGATTACCATTTACCATCAGGCGGACCGTGAGCTTATTTGCCATTCCAGTTCCATTAAAAAAAACTATGCTATTTAAAGTTAATTATCATGTCAAGGTCGAAAACTAGCGTGCAAGATTATTTTTGCGAGTTTCCAAACAACTGTTTCAGTATAAGATAATTAGGTCGGTCTAATGTACCTAGCTATTTGCTTCCAGTCCCTTGCTATTTTTAAACATAACGTAATTAGGCTGAAATTTAGTTTATTTCAAGGCCATAAACCTAATTGTACCTATTACAACATTATTTAGGTTTTGTCTTTTATTCTTTATTAAGGAAAAAGCGTTTGATTTCAATATAGTATTGGATGAATTAATAATAATATTGTTATCCCAGGACAATTCACAGAGAGCCGTCAGAATTTTGAAAAGCTTATTAAGTATATTAAGATGAAGTTAAATACAAATGAAAAGATTTTTATTAAATAAGTGCTATTATTTTATAACATTTGTAAAATGGACATACTTAAAAAAATATTATTAAACAGACATTTTCCTTTAATTTATGTATTTATTTCAGACATTTAACTAGTAAAGTATAATTCATGCTATTTTAATAAAATTCAATGTAATAATTCAACAATGTAAATTATTCACCATAAATAAAATAGGCTACGGTCACCATTTACCATCAGATGGGCCGTATGCATGTTTGCCACCATCGTAGTATAAAAAAAAGAAAATACTAATCGATGTATCAAAATAGGCTTAAGCCATATGACAAAGTCTTGTTTGTTAACATTAATAAATAAAAAAAATGTATATACTCACGACTGCCAACTGTTCGTACTTGTCCATGCCTCGGCTATTGGGCGTAGATGGTGACAGTGTCGACCGTCGATCCATGCTGGCTGCCCCCACCCAAATATGGTGACATTTTCATATTCCACACTTCGAACAACTGCGAACAAATATATTATAATTACAACTCTTGTTTTCTTTTTAATCGAATTAGGTAAGTTAATTTTGTAAGTCGATTTCATTACTGTATAGATTTATATTATTTTGTTTAATTCTGATACCATTAGCATGTGTGTTGTAATATGGGTGTAGACTCAATAATGGTTGGAATTTGATCACCAAAAGTGAATGTCGTAGCACTTCCCGTAGTGGCGGTCAGGTTTCCGCACTGAATATTTGTGGTCTCACAAATGCTAATGGTGACGAAATTAAACAAAATAATACAAATTCATGTTGAACAAGGATTAATGCAAGAGAAAAACATATTACGCCGACCCCAAATAAATGGGATAAGGAAGAAGCAGATGATGATGATGATGATGAATACAGATTCATTAATACAACTCTTATAGTAACTTGACTTCAAAGATTGTGAGAAGAAATGTCTTTGGTATCAGGCTCTGTGTCAATTCCAAATTATTATTAACTCTCTGGTGATGTGAAACATTAATAAAAAATAAAACTAATCAAAATGTATTTAATTTCATTACAGGCAAGGTCTTTTTTGACTGACATGGCGGAAAGAATAATAAAATAATCAAGATTGAACTTTAATGTCATTTCAATATTGACGATAATTACTATGGCAACAAAACGGAAGTAAAACGTTCTAATTAAAACTGGAATCATCCAAATCTGTTCACAATTCCCGATATTTTATTGTGTCCTAGCAACCCATCCCGGCCCCGCACGGGTGTACATGTGTTATATCTACATACAAATCATCTTGAATCACTATTCATTGCTAAAAACTGCATTACAATCCATTAATCTAATATACGAGACAACGGAAGTATAATGAAATGAAATATATATTGTTGGGAAGAAGATTAAGAGTGGAGGGGAGACTGAACAGACAACTCTCACTTTGTGATTTAGACTGTTACTATAAATGAAATCTAATATAGATTATAAATAAGATATAAATGTTTTATAATTATTTTTGAACATAATGTTATCATTTTGATTCTGTTTTCCAAACTTTATAAATATATTTTTGAGTTTAATTTACTTAGGTAGCTATACGTTTTTATGGTCTTATTTCGATAATGGAATGGTGCACCAATTTTATTTCCTGCGTTAACTGTTTACAATTTTATTTCGGGTGCACCAGTGAAGGATATTCTTGGCAGTACTGTGGTATAATAAGATGAACATCAACAGGTCAATGTCAGATCACGGGCGTGATCATAGACGATGGTCGTAGCATGTATTGTGACCGTGATAGCCGCGATATTAACGATCGTCGTAGTAGGCACCGTGATCGATCTTCTGAAATAGAAGCTTTGATGGCTCGTCTTAGAGCATTGGAAGAAAAGATCAGGCCTCCATCTGTACCGGTACGAAATAAGAGCCGTGATAGGTCACCACCGCGACGACGTAGTTCGCCGTCCGGGCTGTCACGTTCATGTACACGTCGCCCATCGCCAACGCAGTCTATGCGTACGTTGAATCCGCCAAATAGACGCATGTCGCGATCACGGGATAGGTATAAGGTCATGTACGCACTCACGTTCTCGTGTCGCCGTCTCGTGATCGTACGCATAACCATCGCCATCTCGCGATTCGGAACGCATTTTGAGACATCCGCGATCGACGCCAGAAAAATGTATCTATATTGGACGCAATACGTTCCATTAACTATGCGGGTAGTCGACAATTATATTTCAAATTTCGATCCGATTATAATATGAATAATGTAATCATTGGAATGATACAGTATCGGTAACTGCCTTAAAGGTGACGCTTCATAAACGAGTGGTGTCAAGTGATCGTTCATGGACAAATTTTAAACAGGAATTTAAGCCGTTATGTCCAAAGACACCCGATATTGCGAATATCTTGGCTGAGGTTATTATCTTGAATAAATTATTGGAAAATACAGTGATAATAATAGAGAATACAATATACGAGCGTCGGCAACTAATGCGAAACTGATCATTTAATATACCAGATAATTTATAACCAGACCACGGATTCGACACGAAAAAGTTTTTAAATGTTTTTCTGTTCGATAGGAAATATTATTCAAGAGTAAATCATGATATATATTGTTCGTTTTGTAAGAAATTGGGTCACAGCGTCGATACGTGTTTTGCCATTTTGGTTACTTCCACCAATAATGATGTAGTAGTGGCTGTTATTCAGGGCGTTCTAGTACAGGTTTTTTATAGACGGCGATTCAACTGTGTTATTTCATCCTTGTTGAAATACTTTAACTGTTTGGTTATATTTTAAAGAGATTTAAAGTTATCATAAACATACCTCTTGTTGATGTCGAGTTACAAAAACTTTTAGAGATCATAAATGAGTTTGTAAAATTGTTCATATTCAGTACTGCGACCTCTATAGTGAAGGCTATTAGTGAAAGTCAGGTTAGGCCGAGTCATGAGAAGCTCGGAGCTTTGATTGACTCACCTGAACCGCAAAATATTAAGCATGTTCGCCATTTCATGGGTTTAGCCAGTTGACAGCTGATTTTGCTCAGAAGACCGCAGAAAACAAGCTCAAGCAATTAGGAAGCTGATAAACTCCTGCATGCGAGGACCTTACAGGGCGATGAAGATACTGCCTAAAGGTCGCTGTGGAATACATGATGATGATGATAATGATGATGGCTGAGAATGGACTCCTGATGTCCGTTTTGCTTTCATTAGCGGTGAGTGAGTTTGATTATTTTGACTTAAAAATCATACTTTTTTGAAACAGCTTATTGTGTATCCCGTTACCTATTTATCGTCGTTATCTATTTCTTATATATACTAATGTGTGTTATGTTTCATGTTGCGGAATGCTGTCTTGGAGTGCGCTCAGACATGCGATTCTGGTATATGGAACGTGCTTGATATTTTGCTCGGACACTGTCTTGGAGTTTGGATAGTTTTCTGATTAGTCGTGGCGTATGTGTATGTGTAGTGTTTAGGTAGTAAGCACTGTACATGTATTGTTGTAAGTTTGGGTTGAAGCATTCTTTTGTGTGGCACCGATCACACACGCAAAGTTATGTCTCACGTAAGGGCGCGTAGATCTCTAACGAGTCGTGAGGCGGCATATCGGAACAGATAACAGTTTGCTTTATATCCGTTGTTGCAAAGCTAATTAAGCTAGCCTACCGTATTGATGTTTAAACTTATCTAATTTAGGTGTCCCTTTGTTTTAAGCTTGAGAACAAGTTTTTGTGCTTTGTTTTTATTCTATAGATGCAGACGACGATAGCGAGGAATCCGTTTCAAGCACCTGATGCTGACGAGGCACAACTTGGAACATCCGGGAAGCAGGGACCGATGGAAGAAACTGCTACGCTACCCAGGATCTCGTCCGGCAGCGAAGGCACTTCCATGCCAATCCTGGATACGGACCATCTCAGCTAATGGAGCCTATGGACGGCCTCCTGTCAGGAAAGGCCGTGTTGGGAAGAAGATTATTGGAGGGGAGACCCTATAAAAGGCGATTTTAATACACACTAATTTAGATGTTAGGTCGTTAACTGCTAAGCTATCGGTTATAATCTTTCTAAGTTGATAGTATTTGATTTGAATCGAGATTAATTATTTCTGTTTGTAATTAGTTTTCGTAGTTAATTATTTTTGCAGTATAAAATAAGCGATGTGATTATCATTTTGATTCGGATTAGTTAAATTTAGATGTATTGCTAAACGGTTACAATAAAATTGTTTTGTTATAAATTTATTTTTGAGTTTAATTTACTTAGGTAGCTGTAATTATTTCTTTTTAAAAAAATCACTTCTGGTCTTATTTCCAAGAATATTATAAATAAAATATAAATGTTTTATAAGAACATAATGACTTCTGTTTTCCAATTTCTTTATAAGTATAGGTATAGCTATACGTTTTTATGGACGATAATGGAATGGTGCACCAACCTGCGCTAACTGTTTACAATGGCGGGGCACCAGTGAAGGATAATAAGATGAACATCAACAAGTCAGGTGGCTGACCTGATCGTGAGAAATTCACTATGAATTTATCATGATGGTTTCCAAGGAGACCGCGGTAAGGTCAACCAACATGGTACATTGCTAGGAATAAGGTCATCAGTTCACGTTACTAACCATCCCCTTTACCCACGTGTAGCTATATTAGTACTATCTATTGTCGACAATTAAAACCATTATAATAAATAATGTATGCAAATACAGTACCTGCTAACGTATTCTAATTGCTTTACGCCACCCGATGTTGCTGTTCCCATCTTGAATAAATTATTGGAAAATACAGTGATAATAATAGAGAAGACAATATTGTGGGCTATCATTTAATATACCAGATAATTTATCGGCTGTGTTACTGAACTGTAGTTTACTGTTCGATAGGAAATATTATTGAGTTATGATATATATTGTTAGGTTATTAAACGGTTATACATGTATATAAACTTAGCTGTGCCCGCGGTTTCGCCCGCAGGTTTATAGGCTATGTGTTATTTTGATGTATAAGCTAACTTTAAAGTTTCATCAAAACCCGTTCAATAGTTTTTACGTGAAAGAGTAATCAAAAACATATTTATCCGTACTGACATAGTTTCGCATTAATATCAGTAATTTTCTCGTATGACAGTATTACTTGTCATACTTCTCTGAAACAGCAACCTATTTATCGTCGTTATCTATTTTTGTAAATTCTTTTTTGGACGTAATTTATATCATAATTTTTTTATGATGAATACATACAACTCTAATTTTTCACCCTTCTACCATCAACCCCTATTTTTTAATAGCGATATTTATTTATATAGGCAAAACAACAATTTAATTGATAATTCATCGCCCACATGAATTTCTGTTTACCTTATGATTGATTGGGAGAAAATGCTTCTAGGTCTAGAAGTCCGCCATGTGCACCTTAATATGTTTATTACAGTTTTAATAAATAAATAAACAAATAAATTGTCTCTCTGAATTTTCATCGACATCATGATGC